TAGGAGGTCCTAGCCATAGGCAATCAACAGCTAACAATAAGACCCTAATTTGAGAAGGCATGCAGAAAGGCAATAAAGTAAAACGTGGATAAGATAAGTGCAGCAGTTAAGACATAAACTTGCAAGCATGGAAAGAAATCGCAGCGCCCGCAGGAGCCTGTTGGTTGAAATTCAAGGGAAGCCGAGGCAGACGGTCATCGCACCCCTTGCGGTCATCCGTAGCTTCTGCTTTGACATTTTACCAGTCGCCCCGCTCTTCTAAGTGAGTGAATTGCCCGAATGAGAGTTGCCTACCTTGTTGGTGCGACGGGAGACGGCTGTTGAACGGGGCCATATAAGCGACCTTGCTCTTTTTCACTGGCTAACTACAAATATTCTTATCCAATTTGATCAGAAATGTATCTGATTAGCTATGGCTTGAGTACTAATGTATCTATTGTATTGACATGCACAAGTGTGGGTAAGGGTAAGGAGCATCTCTCGGAATTCAATTTGAATAGATAGCTTCAATATGAAAAATGAATCTAATTTCTCATTCAAATAACTAAAGGTGCTAGAGATCACTTGGTTCATTGTTGCCCGTCCCCTTTCATAGCCTGTAATTCTGAGGTTTTTTCGTTCTCGGATGTATGCTCAACCTGCCTAATTTGGCGAGCACATCCTGCAGGGGACGAGAGTGTGAGTAACAATTGTTCATAGGAGTTTTTACCGTATAGTCTTGCTAAGGCGTAACAGCGCTCGAGGAAGGCGCTGTAGCACCGTGAACCTGAGTATTATACTTTGGTCGCGAGGTACAGGTACAGGATTCCATCAAATCCGTGGCCTGACGTCCCGGTGACATTCCAACCGTATGTTTCTTTTGATTGAAGATATTCTCTAAAACATTAGCAGAGCAGTTGACGGCTTTATAAAGTGGTTCATTGGTGAGCTTCATGGATGTTCTACATAATGTGTTGGTGCTCCTCAGATGGGCTTTGTCTTCAAAGGCGCAGTTTACGATAAGAATGTTTTCTGAAATTTCCCATCAAACTGAACCCATAAGTCCAAAGGGACGTTGTCGAACCGAAAAACGGCTTAGATAGGGCTAATGTCAGATCCAACTACTTCTTTATTAGAGTGCTTGCGGACTTCAATAAATTGCTTAAAGGTGATATATTCAAGCTTTCTCTAGCTGCTTTCAAAAGAATGATTTCTAGTTAGGCCTGCCTCAAGGGTTTCCTTAGGGTTCCTTTTCATTCAGATTCCATTTTACTCTGACCATATTACAATTTTTTTGCGTTCATAGTAATTTGTACTTTTTCTTTCTCGGTTATGTCGCATTATGTTGTTCTACGGAACTTGTTGTATTTGTATTCGCACGAACTCTGTTCGCGTCTCCAAATAAAATAAAATAATAAAAAATAGGAATGTTTTCTGAGATTTCCCCTCAAACTGAACCCATAACTCCAAAGTGACGTTGTCGATCCGAAAAACGGCTTAGATAGGGCGTAAAAAGGGCCTCCCAAAACCGGGACAGCCGGCATTCACTTAGTGGTGTTCTTCTCGTGTTGTTGTGGATTCTGTAGAGCTTGCACCATTCACATCGGGATGCACACGTTGCACTCGAGCAACTTACTGTAGCCAGCTGTAGACAGTAGCACATATACTGGGGCAGCTCGTCCAAATACCCCCTCAATGCAGCTTTTTTCGTCATATTCTCGCCCAACGCCTAGTTTTACGACTTTTCTTAGGCCTTCCTCTTTGAATACGTCGACTTTCGCGTTTTCTTCGCCTGTTTTCCTCCATTCCAAATTATCACTTCCGTTATCCGCCTAAAACTGGATACCCCAGAAAATTCGTGAACTGTGGCTTTGAAACGCCACTACGATTCTGGTTGGAAGTCGAGCATCCAGAAGTCCAGTCTTCATCTGAATTCCCAGAAGAGGATGAATCAATGCCAAGAACTTTATCTTTCATCTTTATTTCACAGTCATGCCCACATGCTGTACTTTTTCAACTTTCTCGTTGAGAGGTGGATTGTTTTGCAATACTCCGTGTAGTTCAGCCTTCATCAAATTCTCACTCTTCGCTGTCAACAAGGACGCTATCGGAGAGCATACAAAGGAGGACACGCATCGGCTGAACGTCTGGTAAACACTGTCCGTCTGCACGTCTCTTTCTGAAATGCCAAATTACATCGTAGACTACAAAATCGCTGAGTCGTCTCCGTGTGTGGGCGATCTTCAAGAGCACATCTAGAAATGATCTCTAAGTCGATCTTTATTGATTGATTCGGAACCTCATACCATCACATAACACTGTTCGC